CAGTTTTAGTCCTGGTTTAGTCTTTTTTAGTCCTGTTTTGGTTTTTAGTTTTTAGTCCTGGTTTAGTCCAGTTTTAGTCCTGGTTTAGTCTTGTTTTAGTCCTGGTTTAGTCTTGTTTTTAGTCTTGTTTTAGTCTGGTTTAGTCTTGTTTTTAGTCCTGTTTTAGTTTTAGTCTTGTTTTAGTCCTGGTTTAGTCCTGGTTTAGTCTTGTTTTGTCTGGTTTTAGTCCTGGTTTTGTCCTGGTTTAGTCAAAACAACATTTAGAGTCTTAGTGCTACAAAATAAAATCTTACTTCTGAAATGTTCTGTCTCACTCTCACTGTTTCGTCTTCTTATTCCACTCGTTTGTTCGTTCGTTTGTTCGTTCGTTTGTTCGTTTGTTTATTCGTTTGTTCGTTCGTTCGTTCATTTGTTCGTTCGTTTGTTTGTTTGTTTGTTCGTTCGTTTGTTTATTCGTTTGTTTATTCGTTCGTTTATTCGTTCGTTCGTTTGTTCGTTTTGTTCATTCGTTTGTTCGTTCGTTCATTTGTTTGTTTGTTCGTTTGTTTATTCGTTTGTTTATTCGTTCGTTTATTAATTTGTTCGTTTGTTTGTTTCGTTCGTTTGTTCGTTCGTTTGTTTGTTGTTTGTTCGTTTGTAGTTTGTTATTCATTCGTTGTTTGTTCGTTTGTTTGTTTATTTGTTTGTTTATTTGTTCGTTTTATTCGTTGTTCGTTCGTTCGTTGTTTGTTCGTTCGTTTGTTAGTTTGTTTATTCGTTTGTTTATTTGTTCGTTTATTCATTCGTTCGTTCGTTTGTTTGTTCGTTCGTTCGTTTTGTTTGTTTGTTCATTTGTTCGTTTGTTTTTCGTTCGTTTGTTTGTTCGTTTGTTGTTTGTTTATTCGTTCGTTTATTCATTCGTTCGTTTGTTTGTTTGTTCGTTTGTTCGTTTGTTTGTTTGTTTGTTTATTCGTTCGTTTGTTTGTTTGTTTCGTTCGTTTGTTCGTTTGTTTATTCGTTCGTTTGTTTGTTTATTCTTCGTTTGTTTTGTTTTGTTCGTTCGTTTGTTCGTTTGTTTATTCGTTTGTTTGTTTGTTTATTCATTCGTTTGTTTGTTTGTTCGTTTGTTTATTCGTTTGTTTATTCGTTCGTTTGTTTGTTTGTTTGTTTGTTTGTTTCATTCGTTTGTTCGTTCGTTTGTTTGTTTATTCGTTTGTTTGTTTGTTCGTTTGTTTGTTTGTTATTCGTTTTGTTCGTTTGTTTGTTTGTTTATTCGTTTGTTTGTTTGTTTATTCGTTTGTTGTTTGTTTGTTCGTTTGTTCGTTTGTTCGTTTGTTTGTTTGTTTGTTTATTCGTTCGTTTGTTTGTTCGTTCGTAGCGGTGCAATAGTCCGGCGTTTTCTCGTTCTTCGATTCTCTGAAAAACTTTACTTCAGACCAAGGAACCACCGAACTGAAACGACGATGAGATCAAGGCTGACCTCTGACCTCTGACCTCTGACCCTCTTGACCCTCTGACCTCTGACCCTCTGACCCTCTGACCTCTGACCTCGTTCTGTTTCAGGAGTGAAGGGGCGGAGATGGCGTCTGTGGAAGTGTCGACCAATCAGGAGCCGGCAGACGGAACAGAAGAAAACTCAGGTAAAACACCACAGACCTGGTTTAGACCTGGTTTAGTCCTGGTTTAGTCCTGGTTTAGTCCTGGTTTAGTTCTGGTTTAGTCCTGGTTTAGACCTGGTTTAGTCCTGGTTTAGTTCTGGTTCAGTCCTGGTTTAGACCTGGTTTAGACCTGGTTTAGTCCTGGTTTAGTTCTGGTTTAGTCCTGGTTTAGTTTCTGGTTTAGTCCTGGTTTAGTCCTGATTTAGTCCTGGTTTAGTTCTGGTTTAGTTCTGGTTTAGTCCTGGTTTAGACCTGGTTTAGTTCTGGTTTAGTTCTGGTTTAGTCCTGTTTTAGTCCTGGTTTAGTCCTGTTTTAGTTTGGTTCTAGTCTGTTTAGTCTGTTTAGTCCTGGTTTAGTCCTGGTTTAGTTCTGATTTAGTTGGTTTAGTTCTGGTTTAGTCCTGGTTTAGACCTGGTTTAGTCCTGGTTTAGTCCTGGTTTAAGTCCTGGTTTAGACCTGGTTTAGTCCTGGTTTAGACCTGGTTTAGTCCTGGTTTAGTCCTGGTTTAATCCTGGTTTTAGTCCTGGTTTAGTTCTGGTTTAAGTTTCCTGGTTTAGTCCTGGTTTAGTTCTGATTTAGAGCTGGTTTAGTTTGGTTTAGTCCTGGTTTAGTCTAAGTTTGTCTGGTTTAGTTCTGTTAGTCCTGGTTTAGTTCTGGTTTAGTCCTGGTTTAGTCCTGGTTTAGTCCTGGTTTAGTCCTGGTTTAAGTTTTTTTAGTTTCTGGTTTAGTCCTGGTTTAGTCTGGTTTAGTTCTGGTTTAGTTCTGGTTTAGTCCTGGTTTAGTCCTGGTTTAGTCTGGTTTAGTTCTGGTTTAGTCCTGGTTTAGTCCTGGTTTAGTCCTGGTTTGTTTAGTTCTGGTTTAGGTTCTGGTTTTAGTCCTGGTTTAGTCCTGGTTTAGTTCTGGTTTAGTCTGGTTTAGTCTGGTTTAGTCCTGGTTTAGTTCTGGTTTAGTTTGTTTAGTCTGGTTTAGTTCTGGTTTAGTCCTGGTTTAGTCTGGTTTAGTCCTGGTTTAGTCCTGGTTTAGTTTGGTTTAGTTTCTGGTTTAGTTCTGGTTTAGTCCTGGTTTAGTTCTGGTTTAGTTCTGGTTTAGTCCTGGTTTAGTCTAAGTTTAGTTCTGGTTTAGTTCTGGTTTAGTCTGGTTTGGTTTAGTTCTAAGTTTTAGTTCTGGTTTAGTCTGGTTTAGTCCTGGTTTAGTCCTGGTTTAGTCCTGGTTTAGTCCTGGTTTAGTTGGTTTAGTCCTGGTTTAGTCCTGGTTTAGTCCTGGTTTAGTCCTGGTTTAGTCCTGGTTTAGTTGGTTAGTCCTGGTTTAGTCCTGGTTTAGTTCTGGTTTAGTCCTGGTTTAGTAGTCCTGGTTTAGTTCTGGTTAGTCCTGTTTTAGTTGGTTTAGTTCTGGTTTAGTTCTGGTTTAGTCCTGGTTTAGTTCTGGTTTACCTGGTTTAGTTCTGGTTTAGTCCTGGTTTAGTCCTGGTTTAGTCCTGGTTTAGTCCTGGTTTAGTTCTGGTGGGAAACAGGAAGTTTAGTTTTGTTGAGGTTCAGAGTTCAGAGTTTGTTTTTGTTTTTTTTAAATAAACATGAATCAACTGAAACTCCAAGAATTTTATCTATGAAAAGAAACAGACTCTTTCTCTTTTCTTTCTCTCTCTTTTCTCTCTCTTTCTTTCTTCTTCTTCTTTTCATTTTTCTACTTTCTCTCTCCTCCCATCACATTCTCCGTCCTTTAGTCTCTCCTTCTCTCTCTCTCTCTTTTTCTTTCTCTCCTCCTTGTACTGCTCTCTCTCTTTCTCTCTCTCTCTCCTCTCTTCCTCTCTTTTCTGACGTCTTCTCCTTCCCTCCTCTCCCTCTCTTTCTCTCCATCTTTTACTCTCTCTCCTCTTCTCTCCTCTCCTCTGCTCTCATCCCTCCTTCCTCTGTCTGCTCTCTCTCTCCTTCTTTTTCTCTCTCTCCTTCTTTCTCTCTCTCTCTCCTCCTTTCTCTTCTCTCTCTCTCTCTCCTTCTTTCTCTCTCTCTCCTCCTTTCTCTCTCTCTCTCCTCCTTTCTCTCTCTCTCTCTCTCTCCTTCTTTCTCTCTCTCTTCCTCCTTTCTCTCTCTCTCTCTCCCTTTCTCTCTCTCTCTCTTCTCTCTCTCTTCTCTCTCTCTCTCTCTCCTCCTCTTCTCTCTCTCTCTCTCCTTCTCTTCTCTCTCTCTCTCTCCTTCTTTCTCTCTCTCTCCTCCTTTATCTTCTCTCTCTCCTCCTTTCTCTTCTCTCTTTCTCTCTCCTCCTTTCTCTTCTCTCTTCTGTCTCTCTCTCTCCTTCTTTCTCTTCTCTCTCCTTCTTTCTCTTCTCTCTCCTTCTTTGTCTCTCTCTCCTCCTTTCTCTTCTCTCTTTCTCTCTCCTCCTTTCATTTCTCTCTTCTCTCTCTCTCCTTCTTTCTCTTCTCTCTCTCTTCTCTCTTCTCTCTCTTCTCTCTCCTTCTCTTCTCTCTCTCTCTCTCTCTTCTTCTCTTCTCTTCTCTCTCTCTCTCTTCTCTCTCTCTCTCTCTCTCTCCTTCTCTCTCTCTCTCTCTTCTCTCTCTCTTTCTCTCTCTCTCTCTCTCTCCTTCTTTCTCTTCTCTCTCTCTCCTTCTCTTCTTCTCTTCTCTCTCTCTCTCTCTCCTTCTTTCTCTTCTCTCTTTTTCTTTCTCTCTCACCTCTCTCTCCATCTCTCTCCTATTTTCTCTTCTCTCTCTTCTTCTTTCTCTTCTCTCTCACACTCTCTCTCTCCCTCTCTCTCCCCTTCTTTCTTTTTTCTCTCCCTCTCTCTCTTTCATATTTTATCTCTTTCTCTGTCTCCTCTCTCCTTCTTTCTTTCTCTCTCTCTCCTCCTTTCTCTTCTCTCTCTCTCTCTCTCTTATTTTCTCTCTTTCTCTGTCTCCTCTCTCCTTCTTTCTTTTCTTTCTCTCTCTCTCTCTCTCTCTCTCTGTTTCCTTCTCTCCTCATCCTTTCCTCTCTTTTTCTCCTTCACCTCTTTTCCCCCTCTCCCCCTTTCCTCTCTCTCTCTCTCTCTCTCTCTTCCTCTTTCTACTTTTCTTTTTTCTCTCTCCTCCCTCCTCGTTCTCCATCCTTCTCTCTTTCTCTCTCTCTTCTTCTTCTTCTTCTGTTTTGTAAATCTTGTCTTGTGTTTTTCTGAACTCGTCTTGGTGAATATTTTAAAAAGTTTTGGATAAATTAAATTAATTTAAACTCAGCTCCAGTGTTTTTACATTTATTTTTTTGTTTTGTTTGTTTTTTTGTTTGTTTTTTTTAGGGAAGAAAAAATCCAAGTTTCAGACGTTTAAAAAATTCTTCAGGAGAAAAAAGCGAAAAGATTCTGAAGATCTGAAGAACTTTTCCTCCAACGAAGATTTGAACAAAACACCTGAAAAAAAACAACGGTGAGACTGAGTTTAGTCCTGGTTTAGTCCTGGTTTAGTCCTGGTTTAGACCCTGATTTAGTCCTGGTTTAGTCCTGGCTTAGTTCTGGTTTAGACCTGGTTTAGTCCTGGTTTAGTCCTAGTTTAGTCCTGATTTAGTCCTGGTTTAGTGCTGGTTTAGTCCTGGTTTAGTCCTGGTTTAGTTCTGATTTAGTCCTGGTTAGTAGTCCTGGTTTAGTTCTGATTTTTAGTCCTGGTTTTAGTTCTGGTTTAGTCCTGGTTTAGTTCTGGTTTAGTCCTGGTTTAGTTCTGGTTTAGTCCTGGTTTAGTCTGGTTTAGTTCCTGGTTTAGTCCTGGTTTAGTCCTGGTTTAGTCCTGGTTTAGTTCTGGTTTAGTCCTGGTTTAGTCCTGGTTTAGTCCTGGTTTAGTCTGGTTTAGTCTGGTTTAGTCCTGGTTTAGTCCTGGTTTAGTCCTGGTTAGACCTAGTCTGGTTTAGTCCTGGTTTAGTTCCTGGTTTAGTCCTGGTTTAGTTGTTTAGTCTGGTTTAGGTCTGGTTTAGTCCTGGTTTAGTCCTGGTTTAGTCCTGGTTTAGTTCTGGTTTAGTCTGGTTTAGTTAGTCCTGGTTTAGTCCTGGTTTAGTCCTGGTTTTAGTCCTGGTTTAGTCCTGGTTTTAGTCCTCCTGGTTTAGTCTGGTTTAGTCTGGTTTAGTTGGTTAGTCCTGGTTTAGTTCTGGTTTAGTCCTGGTTTAGTTCTGATTTAGTCCTGGTTTAGTCTGGTTTAGTCCTGGTTTAGTCTGGTTTAGTCCTGGTTTAGTCCTGGTTTAGTCCTGGTTTAGTCCTGGTTTGGTTTAGTCCTGGTTTAGTCCTGGTTTAGTCCTGGTTTAGTCCTGGTTTAGTCCTTGTGGGGAAGCTGGTCAGTCCAGTGCAAAGTCGTCCTTCACCAAACCAAATTCTTTATTGGATCCTTCAAAGTCGTGGGCAAAATTCTATACATATTTACAAAAAAAGAACTGTGCTTAACTAAACAAAAGCAACAGAAAAATACACAACAAAAAGAAAACACCCACAGGCACCTGGCTGCACTGATTCAACTGCCTCTACTTATATACCCCCCAGAGAGGAAGCCCCTCCCCCTGGGTTCACACCAACTTACGGGGAAAAACTGTAGCAGTTTTCCTTTCCTTACTGGTGCTGCCTTAAATTATCTTCTGAAGCCTAATCCCCCTTTTAAACTGAACAGTGTCCAACTTAACTAGAAACACTGAAACCAAAATCCTAATAACCCATTTGATAAAACAAAGAACCATTTCCGAGGCTTCCCTCCACATGGTCTGGGCCAACACCTCCCCCTGAGCCTAGAAATATGGCTGCCAAAGGACACGCCCCCTCTGTTGTTCCCAGACCATGTGGAGTCACAGGTGAAGGTGGTAAGTTTAAACAAAATGAAGGGATATAAGTAGTGATGGGCAGATGAAGCTTCATGAAGCATTGAAGCCTTTCATCCAGTTGCTTCACTCTGGTGCAAAGCTTCCTGAAGCTTCTTTTGCTCTAGTAGGACGTCTACTGGACGCAAAAAATATCAGTTGACATGAATTTGAAGTGTGTTGCATTTTGCAGAAAGCCTGTGAATAAAACTGTCAGCAAAGTAAAGAAGTATGCAAAACATGTATATTGTAGTGATGTATACTGTGTGTGTGTATATATATAAATATATATAAATATAAATACTTTTATATATATATACTGGCAGTATGGAAAATTATTATTTGGAAATTATGAAAAAGCTAATGATCATTTCCAGTGAGGTGAGGGGGGTTGGGGTTGGAGTTTGGACAGTGATTGTGCTTTTGTAACGTTGGGTGATTATGGTTCAGGGACACATCATTGGTTTTTATTTAAAAACAACAGTTTCTCCACTGTGGCAGGTCTCAGGCCATTTCTTTTTTTTGACAATATTTCTCCTGCTTTTTGAAAACACCGGGGCTCACAGGGCACAGATGAGGCAGGCGGACACAAGAATGCCACTGCTAATTTATATAAATGGGGATAGACATATTTCTGTCTCTCCCAGTATTGAAGGGGGTCCTCCAGCCTTCCAATATTTGGCTCCATCATGCACCGTTGGACCTCAATATGTGCGTCTGCTATTACATTTTGTGTTTGTGTCTGTCTGACTCTGTCATCCAGGTGACACCACAGGTCGTTACCTAAGAAATAAGAATTGTTTTTTTTGTGAGTTTAAACTGTCTCCAAACTTCCAAACTCTCACTGATCGCAACTCTCCATCAAACACCCACATTTTGAATGAAGACTGAGCAGTTTATGTCGCTGTCAAAACTCGCGGCAAAACCCGAACCACTTCCTGAATCAGTCACGTGGTGCAGCCGGGCAGCGAGGCTTCGGACGTCATCACTTTCAGCTCCTCCCTAAAGGAATCAAGCCTCGATAAGCGCTTCGCGGAAACGCCCCCTCCTCTACTCGACACACGCCTCGAAGACTCGACACTGAACGTCACATCACTAGATATAACCAAATAAAATGAATTTAAAGTAACTGTGTGAATGTGATCAATTAAACAAAGACTAAATAAAACAAACCCGGGATAGTTTTTATTTAACTGTTTAGTTGATATAGATGTAACTGAACTAAGGTGAAAAATGGGGACAAAGGCCGTCTTTGTCACAGTCCTGATTTAGTACTGGTTTAGTACTGGTTTAGTACTGGTTTAGTTCTGGTTTAGTCCTGGTTTAGTCCTGGTTTAGTCCTGGTTTAGTCCTGGTTTAGACCTGTTTTAGTCCTGGTTTAGTCCTGGTTTATGGAGATCACATTGCGTTGTCTAGAATGTTCCACAGTGTGGCATTAAACTCCTGTTTCCATGGCGACGGGATCAGACCTGCTGCCGTTTTTTTTGTCCAGATAAAACGTCACTGTGGGACATTTTGAGCAAAGCAGTGACATCACCGTGGAGACGAGAGGGGCCAGGAAAGTCCCGCAGTGCAGCTTTAAGACTTTTTTTGTCCCTTTTTTGTCGTGTTTCAGTGCAGTGATTGAGTCAGTTTTTTTTTTTTTTTTTTTTTTTTTGTGGCGTTGTGTTTCTCTCCGTCCGTCGTCTTTCGTCCGTCCGTCCCGGAGCTGTTGGCGCGGCGGGGCATCTGGGCTAATCTCGCCGCACGCTCTCCAGCATTTCCTGTTTTTAATTCCGCAAGCGCGCGCGTCGCTTCCCGTCCGCGGGCCCGACTTCCCGCGGGCACTTCCCCCGGCTCGTCCTCGTGTCACTTTAAACAAACAGAAAAGATAAACAAAGGAAACGCGAGACAAAAGACAAAAAAAAAAAAAACTGAACGGAGGATGGATGAGGACCATGTGGACACAATTATTAATTTAAGACTTTTATAAAAACTCGTGAACAAAAAGATAAAACGTTTAAACACGATTAAAAACTCATCAAAGTTCATTTTACTTCATGTGTCTGTTTTACATTTACATTTATCTTCAAAAAAACAGAAATATTTTTAACCTGGACTCAAAAGGATTTAATTTTATTTTATTTTTATAAATATTTTTATTAAGGAATCACAGTTTATTCACGCAAGATTTACACATCACATTTATCCCTGTTATATTTTTATTTTCTTAATAATAATAATAAAAATAATAATAATAATAAAGTGTCAAATCCAGATATTATCAAGGGAAAACAATTAAAATATGATCATAAGTATTTTATTTTTTAATACAATAAAAATGCATTAATAAATATAAATAAATAAATAAATAAGTAATAATAATAATAATAATTTTTGATTTGATTTGAACAAAACACCTGAAAAACATCAACGGTGAGACCGAGTTTAGACCTGGTTTAGACCTGTTTAGACTGGTTTTATAATAATAATAATAATAATAATAATAATAATAATAATAATAATAATAATATAATAATAATAAACGCCGCAAGCAGCAATGATCAGCCCTCATTACACTCGCAGCACTGGCAGGGGGCGCTGTCACTTTTTTTTTTTTTTTGGTGCTGTGGTTCTGTCACACACAAAACAAACGATGTCAACACAAACAAACGATGTCAACGCAAACAAACGATGTCAACACAAACAAACGACATCAACACAAACAAACGATGTCAACACAAACAAACGATGTCAACGCAAACAAACCACATCAACGCAAACAAACGACATCAACACAAACAAACCACATCAACACAAACAAACCACATCAACACAAACAAACCACATCAACACAAACGACGTCAACACAAACAAACGACATCAACACAAACAAACGACGTCAACACAAACAAACAACATCAACACAAACAAACAACATCAACACAAACAAACAACGTCAACGCAAACAAACAACGTCAACATAAACAAACGCCGTCAACGCAAACAACGTCAACACATAACGACATCAACACAAACAACGTCAACACATACGACATCAACACAAACGATGTCAACACAAACAAACAACGTCAAAACAAACGCCGTCAATGCAAACAACGTCAACACTGGGACTGGGATTTTAATATGTACACGTGATGATGAAGATGAAGATGTCATGTCTCTGTTTCCTGTCCGTCAGGTCGGAGGCGGGGCTGGGCAGCCGGGCGCAGTCACATGACTCTGTGCTGGCGTGTGATTATTCGGAGGCTCAGGAGACTCTGGGGGCGTCTCAGGACAGTCTGCACGGGAAAGTCAAGTCTCTGCAGGTAAAACCGACTTTATAACATTTATATAAACATTTAATACATTGTCATAACACCTGGTGATAATAAAACTGTAATAATAACAACTAGGGCCTGACCGATATGGGTTTTGTTGTGGCCGATATGAAGCCGATAAAATGAGAGTTGGAGCTGCCGATATATTTAGTGATGTAAAAATTCACTGTAAATCTTGAATTGTTTAAAAAACTTAAGTTTGGCTCTGGTGGATTTTAAATTGGGTTTATTTAGGCAACATTTATTCTTATTC